GGTTGTGTCCCTGAATTGAAACAAGTAGCCAGGGGTTGGGAAAGTGCGTGGGCATATTGCTCTGCTGGCATTCCACAAGCATTGAAAAACACAGGGGCCCAATTCACAAAAGGCCACAGATTTGCGTCGTCAGGTTCCTGCGTCCCATCTGAACTGTTCCCTCGTGATCTTGATCGTTCGGAACTCCTTAGCTTGCTTAGGCATATAATGTCTAGATCCTTTACATACGGCGAACTATATTCACCAATGTTAGAAGTTGCGACTAAAGGTCCTCGATTCGCATTCGCCAAATTGTTGATACAAGTTCCTCAAACTTCCGCGGTCAGGTCCCAGATCAGAAGGCTGACAGCTACCGCGATAGAGGTCAGCCAATGGCATGGCCCGTCTGGCAAATTGCTATCAATATCCAGAAAATGTTTTTCACAGACTCTGTTCACCAGCATTTTGCAATCAATCCCTCTGGATCAATGTACTTTTGCAATGTCCATTGCCACTAGCTGTTGCAATTCTTCGCTAGTCTTTTCATGAGCCAAACGCGGTGGGCAAAATGCTCACCGGCACATGGAAGCATCCTAAAACACACACAACAACGCACCAATCTCCGCACCTATACCAGCACCTGTACCAGGTACCATGTTTCTAGCCGAAATGAACAATTTTCAAATTTCACATGTTAAGAGTTATATGTCTCAATCAATATATAATGATAAAACCAACTAGAACTGCAGCACCATGCGAACATTCATGTGCAAAGGTGAATTAAAATCGCCTGTAGGCCCGTTTCGCAAGCTCAAGTCGTTGGTGACGTCGTCATAACTTGGGGCTTTGGTTTTGACCCAGAACCATTTTGCTGCACTGCACCACCGCCAAGAATTGACAGCATTAAGCATTGACGCACCAAGAATGTGTTGAAGCTCCTCGGGCTCCTCAGGCTCCTCTTGAAGCTCTTGAGCAATGTCTTCCAGGACCTCAGAATTCCGAATCTCTGTGGTTTGGGTCCTTCCCCTCTATCTATTTCCTGGCAAAGGAGCTGGTTGTGACCCACGCCCACGTGCTCAAAGTTCTTCTCTATGACGTTGCATGAAATGCTATGTTATTCTATTGACTCAGTACCAAACTGTTGCCAGCGCTTCTGGTTCTGCAGCTGCAGTCTGCGCAGGCGGAGACGTCACACAGCGAGAGAGCAAACAAAGTAAACCGTGGCAGCCATTTGGAACAAGTCCGCCCGCACCGAAGGTGCTGAGGCGTTTTATGAGGCCCGCATTATACCGCAAGTGCCGCAAGTACTAAATAGCTTTAGCTAGGGGGGGGGGGCCATTTTCGCTCTAGAATCCTTCCTGTGCTTTTCACGTTTTTGGAACCGGCTTAAAGTTCTGGAAGGTAAATTCGTGCTAATGTTTGCTATCTTGAAGCCTTTAGGGATGCAAGAAATGCAATTTTCTGCTTTGCATCATCTGCATCATCTGAATCATCTGAGCGGTACAGTGTAATTGGACTGAGACCGGACATTTGGCTGAACAGGTTCCCCTAACGGGGCTCAACATAGCTTCCATATTGCGTAACATAGCCCTAGAGGCACTATCTAACGGACGTGTCTGCGAGATAGGGACTTGAACGTCCGGGTACGTGGCTGGTCAAGAGCAGAGATAAGCAGATCAGGTCCAGGAACGGTAACATTATCTCACGAGCATAGCTCCCATATGGTCGAACATAACCCCAGAAGTCACTATCTCAAGGATGCTTCCCCGAGATACGTACTTGAACGTCGTAAACATGGCCCAACGAAGGCTCCAAAGGGACTGGAATAGAGTGAAGATATTGCCTAACAGAGCCCTAGAAGTCACTATCTAAAGGACGTGTCTGCGAGACTTGAACGTCGTAAACTGGAATAGAACCCCCCCCCCTAACGTGGCCAAACATAGCTTCCATATTGCCTGGCATAGCTTTAGAAGTGATATTTGGCTCCACAGGAGCAGAGATAAACAGGGATCCAGTTCCGGAACGGTAGCATTTTCGCGCAAGCAGAGCGTGCATACGATCGAACATAGCCCCAGAAGTCACTAGTATCTAACGGACGTGTCTGCGAGATAGGGACTTGAACGTCCGGGTATCAGGAATGGTAACATTTTCTCCCGAGCATAGCTTCAGTATGATCGAACATAGCCCCCGAAGGCACTATCTTAAGTGTGTGCAGATCAGGTCTAGGAATGGCAACACTATCTTACGAGCATAGCTCCCATACGGTCGAACATAACCCCAGAAGTCACTATCTCGAGTATGCTTCCCCGAGATAGGCACTTGAACGTCGTAAACATGGCCCAACGACGGTTCAAAAGGGACAAAATTCCAATCCATTTTGAGTCCCCATTGGGCCATGTTTACGACGTTCAAGTCCCTAACATGCTTGAGATAAAATCTTCTGAAGCTGTTATCGTTCCTAGACTTTGTCTCTGCTTATCTCTGCTCCTGTTGAGCCTTATATTTGCGACGTTCCAGGCAATATGAAAGCTATGTTCAGCCACGTTGGGGGGGGGGGCGTTCTGGGGCTATGTTCGACAATATGGAAACTATGTCGGGCCACGTTAGGACAACCGTTACCGTTACTTGACCTTATCTCTGCTTATCTCTGCTCCTATTGAGCCGAATTGCGCGATCTTGAGCTACCTTGAGAAGAGATACCTCGATTTGCGACGTTCAAGTCCCTATCTTCCTTTCATACTGACTCCCTTGGCTCCAAGAGCACAAGACCCCCTTCCAGATCGTGTTCCTTACTGCCGGTAGCAGTCTTTTAACCCCCCAACTACATTGGGCCATGTTAAATCCCTATCTCGAAACATGACCGGGAGGGGATCACTTCCGGGGCTATGTTCGGTGGAAATATTGTCCCCTTCCATGCGGTGCGGGCGGTTACCGTCGCGAAGCGACGTGAATAAAGTGCAAGAAACAGGCATTGCACTCGCCTTGAGAGCTTCTGCTTCGACCAAGGATGCCTCATACACAAGAAACAAGTGGCCTTGACATGTTCAATCAAAACTGACCCTTTTCAAGACCTCAACAAGTGCAGGTTCTTAATTCTCTGCTTAAGAAAAACAAACCACAAAACCTATAAACTTAAATTGTGTGAAGCACGTGAATGACTCAACCCCACACACAAACAGTTAACATTGCTGGTAGCATGAATTGCAGCATGCCCCAGCTCCATCCAACTCACTCCACGACCTTGAAAACTTATGCAATCTTGGTTGGAGGCTATTGCTATTAGGTTGGAGGCTATCGCTATTAGGTTGGAGGCCACCGCTATTAGGTTGCTATTAGGTTGGAGGCCATTGCTATTGCGTCTGTTGCCCAGGTGTTTCCCACACCTGGAGACGCTCAATCTCGGACTGGAGCTGAGTCTGCACTCTGGAAAGTTCCTTTCCGCAACAGTGCATAGAGAGGCAAAATGTTTCAGCAACACAAAGGGGACAAAGGGCAAGCACGTTCCATGCTGTGTTCTTTCAATGTCGGCTCCTGGGCATGAAGCAAGGCCAGCTGAGACAAGACTTCATCAAACTTGGTCTCTTCCTCTAGAACCGAGTCGTACCAAGGAACGCTTGGCTTGGAACAAAGGAGGTCTTCACCGGGAGAAAAACTCCCTCCAAAGACAGTTGAAACGCAACTAGCCTAACTAGCCCGCTTGTCCTGGCCAGCCTCACCTAGGAGTTTCTGAGGCATCCTGCAAGCTCAGCAAAGATTGCAATGATTCAAGGCTTGCACCATTCCACGCTCTTCAACCAGGATGTCACAAGCATGAGGTGTACACACCTCTTACAAAGCGGTTGCCTCCCCATCCCAGTCCTGCAACTGCTGTGCAAAGTTGGCATCAGTTTGAGATGCTGTCGATACCGTAGCTTGTCGTGTTGTTGAGTGTTTGTTGTCTAGCTAGGTTCTGTGGTCACTTCATTCTGCAACTGCATTCTTCAGGCAGCCGGCTGAGCAACAGTTGAGGCGTTCCAATAAATGAATTCAAAGTAATCAGTAAACAACTGCTCAAACAAGCGCGGCTGCAAGTCGCCGCCTAGAGAAAGAAACCAACAGCTGTTTGGAGTTCATAGATCAAACAAGTTGTTTTTGCTGCCTTATCACAACTCCGCCCCAGCGGCCTTCTGCCACGTGGAAACTTGCACCGACCGGCTTGGCCGGGAGCGTCAAGTGGCGCACACTGTGGGGTGCTGCATGATCTTCATGCAGCGCTCCTATTCCAAGCGCTCAAAGTCTCCATTGGGTGTTAATGTGCACCTGGGAAAGCTCTGCACATTAACAGCGCAAGCTCTGCACCTTCTGGGTTTGCTTCGTGACGCGAGAAGTTTTCCACGCCTTCTGGAGCTCCTTTGGCATCTCGCCTTGGGAGAAGAAAACCGAAAAAGCCCGCAGGTTTCTCGTCAGTTGCTGCCAGTATACATTCAAGTCTGTTATGACATCTGAACAAGTCCCTTTGGGTCATTTGGCACATGGTTCATCCGAGTTCATCCTGCTCAAGACTCAAAGACTCAAGACTGGATTCTGAGGTTGAGGCATCTCACGTGATGCATTGCCAATGGCAGATCTGAGCTTTGCAACTTGGGCCTGCGGAGAGCACAAAAACCTGGGAGCTAGGGAACACAATCAGCTAAGTTAACTTCAACACTCTCAGGAAAACAGTTTTATATAAAAAAAGAAACAGAAAAGGCTGGTTTGACTTCCTTCTAGCTTCTAGCCTCTGTGATTTGTGGTGATTTGATGAGGGATTCTTTCCCAAATTGATGCTCATTGAGATCTCGCTCGCTGGATGCTGGCCTCTCGCTCCTGGATGGCCTTCTGAAGACCTCAAAGCTCCCGGTGCAGTGATTGGTGCCACTGAAGGCACCAAGGCAGCACTAGGTATGCAGGTATGCAGGTATGCAGGTATGCAGGTAGGTAGGTAGGTAGGTAGGTAGGTAGGTAGGTAGGTAGGTAGG